CAAGCTGTATATTAAAGATCTGTGAGATCTACCAAGGTGATAGGAGCAATCTGTTGTGTTATTTTTAGGTTTAGATTATGCATGGTGGGTGTTGTAAACTTCTGGAGTGAAGCAAACCTATGTGTTCCTTTATTATTTATAAAGTTGCATAAGAATATGCAAATGAAAACAGGTGTTTTAACTGAACAATATCATAAAATGTCTCTGTAGTTGAGGGAGAAAAAGCCACTAATTTGAATGGAGGAATTTGGGATACTTTTGTATTTAAAATGCAAGAACACTGTTGCAATAACAAGTCACTGTTTTATTGCAGTTTTAAGTTTAGATGTGCTTTTGTAGAGGTCAGGCCACTGCAAGTAGTGGCTTACTCCTCAGGTATCAGAGAAGTTTTGTGAGGCTGTCAAAGAATTAAAGAGTAGTGGAGGCTGGAAGGTGCCTCTGGAGATAATTAGTCCACCCCCATGCTAAGAGCAGGTTTGAGTAGAGCAGGTTGCTCAAGGACCACGCCAGCCAGGTTTTGAGTATCTACAGGGATGGAGACTTCACACCTGCTGTGAGAGACATGTTTCACCAGCCTTACAGGAAGAAAAGTTGGGGGAATTTTTGGGTTTCAGTGGAGTTTCCTGTATTTCAGTTTGTACCCATTGCCTCTTGTCCTTTCTTTGGGCTTCCTTGAGAAGAGTTTGACTGTTGTCTTTACTCCCTCCATCAGGTTTTTATAAACATTGGTGAGATCCTCCTGAGCTTTCTTTTCCCCAGGCTGAGCAACCCCAGCTTTCTCAACCTCTCCTCCTGTCTCAAATGCTCCAGCCCCTTTGTTATCTTCATGGCCCTTTGCTGCACTCCCTCCAGTATGTCCATGTTTCTCTTGTCCTGGGAAGCCCGGAGCTGGGCACAGCCTCTGGGATGTCTCTCCAGTGCTGAGCAGAGGGCTGGTGACCCTCCTGATGGTCATGGACTGCCCTGGAATTAACTGTGAGTTCGGTAATTAAAACTGTGACACAGGTTTTTGTAGTAGATTTTTTGCATGACAGATTCAGCCCTGGTTGCCTAAAATGCATCTACTTTAGGATTAAATTGTTTCAGTGTGATGTACCTTGCATGCTTTTGCCACGTGGCTGTGAATCTTGCATATAACCTGAGGGTAGATTTTCCTCTGTGCTGGGCTTATTTTGATGTGCCTTCATTGACTTAAGGAGAATTACTATCTTAGTATCCATTAGGGTGAGTGACAGCTCTCAGTAGCAGATGCTGCATTTTTACAGGGACAGGTCACATGCTCTAGGAATTGCAATGAGGAAGCACAGAGATGTCTTTCTAAACAGGGTGGTGGTAATATTTTTTTTTGCTTTGCTTAGTATCCCTGAATGTTCTGCAGCCAGCACCTTTTCCCAAGGTGCTGGCTGCAGAAAAGGTTCAACCTTTGCTGTAGTTGTTGACTTGCACATATTGCGCTACGTCAGTATTCAGAATTATCTTCAAACAAATGGAAGACAGCAGAAGTCTTGAAATGTGGGACTTGCTTGATTAGAATGTGTATGAGCTGTCTCTGTTTGTCTGATCTTACATCCCCAGGATTTTTCCTTTTGCTTTCTACACTTTAATGGAAAAGGAAGCTCTTTTTTTTTCTGAATATTTTGCATTTTTATTTAGGAAAAAAAATCTGAAAAGGTTTAAATTCACTACTCTTCTTACCTTCAGGTACAACATTGGATGCAACAAAATTAAGAAAATTAACAAAGAACTTCATACTGCTGTACTACCTTGCAGAGTCTGTGTCAGAGACTATTCTGTGTCACTACCAGTTTGAAAAAATAAAGGAGCTTGCATGGTACACCGTGCTGTTTGCAATTAGATTGTTTGTAAGAGAATTACCTCTTTTGTAGCAGACTCAGTTACTGTATTTTGAAGATTTGTATTTCATAAACTAGCATGAAGTATGGTTTTGCTTTTCAACTAGGAAATTAAAACCACGCCAGTTGTAATTGTCAGCTTTCTCAGTCACATTATGCATTGAGTGCTGTGTGGTACATACTAATATCAATATATTTGTCAGGAAAAAAGAAGAGAGAATGCAGTAGCTACTCCCCTAACTGTGTGAAATCCCTAAGCATATAATGACTTCTGTGTGATTTATTACTGGGTTAAACCTTTCCATGTACTACAAATCTTCATTATTCCTATATGCATAATTATTTATGTGGCATGAACTCCTGGTATCTTTTATCAGCATTTCTACTCAGAGTATTTCTTAAAATATGCTGGTAGAAGTTGATTCTGGAGACACAAAGCCTGGCACTTACTGCTGTGCAAAGTTCAAAATATCCCCTTGTACGTGGGTAAATACGGGAACGTGGAAAGCTAATGCCCTTTTCATTGTTGAGAAGGGCAAGCTGACTGTTTCCTACTTTTCCTGGGCAGCCTTTGATTGGTGGGACAGTTCATCAGTGTGTTTGTAAGAGATGTCAGAAATTCTGTGTAGTGATGCAAGTAGTATCTTGTGCTTTTTATTTCCCTAGTTTGGCTGTTTATGAAGCCAGCATGGCAGTCCTCCTGCAGGTGCTCTGAAGAGGGTGAAGAGTCTGGGTGGCCTCAAATGATTTGATGCTGTTTGGAGAGCTCTGTCTTTTGTGCCTGCAAATTCCAGTGGCTGAGAGTCTCCCTAGTATGACTTTCCTCTTGTTGACTGCGTATCTCAGGGTAGCTGAGTAGGTGTTTCAGTGGGTCTGAAGGCAAGATGGGGTCAATTCCTACTTGAATCTTGGCCTTTGAGGCTTCCTTGAGTCCACCTAAAATTCATTTAGTTTCCCTGAGGCCCTGCCATGATGCAGGGGTGAAGCTGCAGGGTCTCACCGTGGTTGTCCTTGCCACCTCAGCCAGTTCTCCATCCCTTGGCACAAATGGCAATAAGTTTTTATACAAACTTTGGTCACCTCAGTGTAAGCAGCTTTTGGAACACACTAGACACTGAGTGTGCTATTTGAATATGTTGTCACATTTTAAGACTTCCCTGATCTGTAGCAGGCAAGTTCTTGAATCAGCTCTCTTGTCTGTCTAGTAAATATTACTGCAGTTGTCATGGGGAGTAAAAGGCTAGTGTAATCATCCTAGCAGTTTTCTAATTAAGATAAATTTCATTTTTCACTCATTTTCTGTCCACTGTGCTACAATGCTAAGAAAATAATTAGAAGACTTAAGCACAAAGAAGTGTTACTGATGCTCTACATCACCTCTCTGATGTAGAGTTCGTGGGAACTTATTCCAAGTTTCTTCAACACGTGGTGTCAGCACCTCTCTGTGCTGCAGGCAAAATCTGAACTTTCTATAATGGTTGTCATATTAAACAACTGGGAGGCTATTTGTAGAAAACTCTAAGAAAATAGGAAGAAAATTGTTGTCTTCATGTGAAGATTAGAAAACTCTCATACATCATCATCCTCTGATAGTAAGGTATGGGATTCAGTCTCACTTCCTTTGTTGCCTTAGTTGGAAAAGCATCTACTCCTGTCTGTTACTTCTAACAAAAATCTTTGTATCCATCATTCCCCCTTTGCAAGACTATCTACTGCTTCCCCATTAGTGGTGCAGAGAGGCTGCACAGTAGGTTGAAAAATTTCCTATTATTTGCTTTGCTAGTAGCTTCTTATTCCACTGCTTTAAGAGAATCAAGCAAGTGACCTCATTTTGCCTCACAGCAATTAATTGTCTTAAGATGATTCGTACATTATTAGCACTAAAACGGTGATATCCTGTAATCTGTTTCAGAGGTATATATTTAACATAGGAAGGATTCTTTTGGGTGCTTGTGCTGGAGGGGGAGAGTTTTTTTCCTGAAGCCTCTAGTGACAACAGGGCACTGCTTCCAGATTCCAGGGGCTGGAGAGAGGCATGGGGCATTAAACTGGTAGTGGTAAGGGAGAAACTGGTCTAAACTGCCCAGTAGGAAGTGTCTCTTGTCTGTGCTTAAGGGTAAGTTCTGTTGTGGATACTTGCTTGGTGTCATTGTTCTCATATTAGGGACTTTCAAAAGTGATAGATTTTTCTTCTTAAACTAATATTGCAACCAAACTGATTGTAAGGGTAATTGTAGACTAAAATGGGCAATAATCAAGGTGCAGTTATGTGCACAGGCCATGTCTGATTAACCCTCTTGTTCTGCAGCAGTTGTTCCTGTGTTTGTTAGTTTGCTGTTAGGAGAGCTTTAGCTGCTCCCAAACTTGGAAGAGATTTATGAGATTCCTGAATGCTTGCACAATATAAGCATTATAATATAATTTTTCTTTTTATAATTGTTTTTCTTTGTTCATTGTAAGTACAGCTCATAGGGCAAAATAAAAAGGAGACGTTTCCATCAGAAGGCAAAGGAGGTGAAACAAGTGATCCTTACAGGGTACAGCATACGTGCTATGGTTCACTTAAAATATTGTGACTGCTAAAGTTTCATTCATGCATCTGCCTAAGCTAACAAAACTGAAACTAGTTATAGGTGTGCCTGACCATAACAGCATCAATGCAAACCTGTGCAGTGCACCCTTCTGCCCTCTGTTCTGCTTGAAAGTGTTGGGTGAAGTGCTGCACAAACAACTTTTTTGATACCAACTTCCCCCCCTCTCACTTTTCTTTTTCTCATGTAAAAATCCTAAAGGGTACCTTGAGTTTGTTAGGAACACTTCAAATGTTTGTTCCAAAAAGTGTATTTAATGGTTTAAAAACTTCCCTTCTTCTCACTTTTTCCACCGCTGTGTGATGATGCAGCAGGCAACACAGACCTGTTCTTTTATGAAGTCACTTACAGAGACATAAAATGTTCCCTTTGTCATGTTTTTAAGCTCACTGAGAGCCAATGTCTGTTTAGTTACCTGAAATACTTTTTGCAGAATGCATCTGGTTAGCAGAAGACAGCTTGAAAAGAGAGATTGCATGTGTCAAAGCTTTTTCTTGTTACAGGAAGAGTGGTAACATGATTCTGCCTATCTCTGCCCATCTTTCTGCCTTTGCAGCATCCCTCTTGTTGATTTGCTAGACAGCACAGAGCTGCCAGAAACTTGTGTTGATGATGCCATAGGCCGTCCGGTTGTTGGCTTGGCAACAGGAGATTCAGAAGAGGCTGTTAGTTGCCCTCATCCTGGCACGAAGGAAACTCCTGCTGAAAAAGCAGACTCTGATCGTAAGCAAATTTACAGATTTTTTCATATTATGGTGTGTGGGGTCAAAGTTAAATAGTTAGGTTGCTATGAGAGTGTTTCCTTACAAAAATGCAGAACTGTTTTAGAAGCTCCCTTAGGTTATATGCATAAGGACAGTTTTACCCACCACTGGGACAACAAAGCTTATTTACAAGGATAGAGGTACATAGGAGAAGTCAGATCTTTGTTGGATCTGACTATAGCCACAAATACAGTGAAGTGCAGCCATAAAAGCAATTAAGTCTGTGTGCTTGCTCGTTCCCTGTTGGGTAGATGAACTCGCAGGAGTGCAGAGCACTGTGATCAGGTACATGCACTCTGTAGGATTGAAACTTGCTCTGAAGCCTGAGCAAGTAGGCAGTTGTGCTTTTTTGCACAACTTCAAACCCATGTAATTAGTATTCAGGAAGAATGCAAGTTACAAGGCGAATAACTCCACAATAACATCAGGAAGATGATTTTGTTTTCTATCTTTTTCAGCATTTGAAGACACATTCCTAAAACTGAAACAGCTGGAGACAGAGCGCAGCAGCCCTGTGCCAACTGAGCGTCCCAACGTAAACATAAACATACAGGTACTGGGGCTTCATTCCCCCTGGCACAGTCACTGAGTTTTGTTCAGATGATTCTGAAAAGTCTTCCACTTGCCTTGGTCTGTTTGCAGAATTTTTAAGAATATGAGTGAGTAATATTGGAGGGTAGTAAAGGAAATGCAACTGCTTTATTATATATAAACCTATGTGTGACAGGGCAGTGAGGTAAAGATAGGGGCAGAGGTGCATGTATGCAGATTGCAGCCTGGTGAAATTTTCTGAAATCAATGGGAGTAAAAGGCATAAATGCTTGAAATGTTTCTCAGTTGTCTTTATCTGTAGGTTACTACCTGTATGGTGTTGTGTAGTCTACTCTCTTTTTGGAAGGGGTGTGCTGCTTTCCTGGCATTTTTCTGTTGCCCTAGGTTACCCTCCCAGAAGGTTTTTTTGAGATATTGGTTTGAGTCAAGTTTGCTGATGATCCATCCCTCCTGTTAAGTAACCAGTTTGTACCTGCTCTCTGAAGTAGGTGTTAGTGCTCTCTGTGTTTACATAGAGAAGAGTGATGTGGTTTGATTAAATGCTCTCAGATCCTCCTGAGCAAGTCAGGCTGCACTTTCACAGGCAGCTGAGCCAAAGTACAAGCTTCAGTGCCCTAAATGAGGTGAAGGCACTCTTCTCCCTCCCTCCCTTCCTCCCTCCTCTTTGGTCTTCCTTCCCCAGCCTCCCTCTCTGTGGAGGAAAACATGCAGGAATCACTGCATGTTTCAGTAAGCAAATGTAGCCTACGAAATGGCAAACAAAATTTTTTTAGCTGCCTTTGTTTTGAAGTTTTTTTAAGGTGTTAGATTTCATTAGGTTTTTGATTTGTTTTTTTAAGTTGGTAAATAGTGAGTAAAATAGATTCATAGAAGGGGTCAAAGGAATGCCAGAGCCATAGTGAAAATAAGTAGTGTTGCTAGAAGGGATGGAGAGGACAGGATCTTCCTTTACAACAGCAGTGAACTTTGATAGATTTACTGGTTATCAGACAAGTGCACCCATACAGGATATTCTTCTGGTTTTTTTAATGAGCTTTAAAAAATTATGGAAATTATATTTCCTTTACTCTGCTTTCCCTGATGTTAAAGCTTTAGATGCTTTATCGCATTTTGGGCAAGCAGAGAGAGTAAAACACCTGGCACTGTTATCTCTCTTTGGGCTATCCTCCCTTCCAGGGAAGCCTGAGGATTTATCTAACTTTCAGTGAAGCCGCAGTGATTTTTCTTGCTCCTTCAAGAGTAAAAGGAACCAGGTGCCAAGAGAGATGTTTAGCAGTATGTGTTTGAGCTAAGCCCATTCCTAAGCACTTGTTCTCCACCTCGGTGTGAGAAGGCTGCTGTGGGTGGTGCTGCAGGCTCTTTGGCTCATGTCCCCTTTAAGGACTGCTGTCAGGGATGCCTTGTGCACCTCTCTGCTTGGTGAGTGCATTACAAAGATTACCAGGTCTGTAAGAAGATTAGTCAGTAGCCTGTAGGTCCTGTTATGCTGAAACACCACTTCTGCATAAACTAAAGCAAATGAACACAGCTCATTTAGGAATATTTTGGCCCGCTGACCTCTGCTTTAGTTCAGAGAGAGAGGGAAAAAAATGTTTAATTGGTTAATTGGAGAGAACAGAGCAAAAATGTCTCAATGGTTTTTAAATTGTGGCTGATATATAATAAGCAAGCTAAGATGCCTGTAATGAGCTAATCTAACAAACAGCTGCCAACTCAGTATAGTCACAGTTATCCAGCTGCTGTCATATGAGGTGCTGAGTAACTTTAGAGGTTACAGATACTGGGGTGGTAGTAACCTGATTAGAGAGCAAGAACATTTGCATAACAGGGAATTACATGAGGTATGGATCAGCAGTATGCCAATGTAGTTCTTTCATTGGGTAAAAGAGACTTCAGCTTTCAAGAAGGAAGTGCAAACTGTATTAAGAAAATATAAGAGTAGATCATCAGTGTTTTTTCTAGGGTAGAGGAGATTGAATAAAATTTTTCAGACTATGATGTAGCTGACCAAGAGGTCATTTGAGAGTGGTTGTTTAAAAAAGATAGACACAAATTAGATACTCTCCGCATACTTTAAATTCTCTGTGTTTCAAATTGCAAAGACATGTAGGTTACAGTAGCACCAAATGAGCACACCCTTCAGAGAGGAAGGTTAATGGTTTGGAAACGAGTCCTCAAAAGAGTGACCTAAGAATAACAATTAAAAACACTTTGCTTCCTGACTTTGAAGGCTGCTTTAGAAAAAACTATAAATTTCAACTTATGATGTTTGTTACAAATTGTACCTATTGGCTCTTCTCCTGTACTTACTTTTATTCTTAATCTGTTAGTAAAAGAGGTGTTTGTGCTATCCTCTTCAGACTGAACTGCATGGGACTGCAATATAGCCACTAAAGCCTTGCAATAAACTTAGATCCTGGAGCTTGCTGTTACTTCAGAGGAATGCAGTGTTCTCTCTGAAAGTGTGTGGTTACAAATTTCAGCATATTTCGTCTCCATATTTACCAGTGCATAAGATACTGACTTATGTAAAAACAGTTACAGAACGTAAGAGGTTTGGTAAAATGCATTGGGGGAAAGCATTATCTTTCTGCTTATGAAGGCAGAGCTGTATCCTGAACTTCATGACACTCATATGCCAATGAAGTACTCATTTAAACCTTGTAAATGAAAAATCTTTACCTGTCTTCTGTCAGGGGTCAGAGGTAGCCTGATAGTCATCTTTATGTAATTCTTTATTTGTAGTCATTCTATCTTGATTGATTCCTTTGATAGGGAAATATTTATCTAGCTATCCCTGTTCTTCTAGGGAGAAAGAGAAATCTTTCCAGAATGAGAACTGGGAAGGGGGGAATGAATAGCTTCATTCTTCACTGCTGCTCACTGCCAAAATCTGTTGGGATGGAAGAATGCGACTTTGTCCTTTCCCAGCTTTCACCAGTGCAGTGACCAGATCTGACAAAAGAGAGCAAATAGTTTTAAGTACACCAATGCACTGCTTTCATCAGCTTCTGAAGTGAAATGAACAATAAAATGTTCACCCTGTTTGCCCGTGTTCGAAGTCTGCTCCAGGGTCAGAAATGCAAGAACACGAGTGTTTGCTTTTTCTGAATTTGTTGTGATCTGTAAATACATGGAAGTTGCTCCAAAACATGCCTGTATTAGACTTCATCTTCCTGCATAAAGTGATTTTCAGTGGCTCTAGGAACACTGCTCAAAAGCAGAAAGTATTGGGATTGCATGCCTTGCTGCTGCCTTTAATCTTTCCTTACCTTTTTACATCGCTGCCTAGCTCCCTAGCTTTGATTTGGAGAATGTAATTTGTCTAGTCCATGGAAACAACAAACATTTGTAACAAGCTAGAATAATGACAAACCCCAACAGCTTTCTTGTTTTGTGTGAACACCTGAAGTGTCTTGTCATTTAGACATCTTGAGGCTTTATCAGTTGATGGATGCTTTTCCCTGTAGCTACATGATTTTTCAGGCACAAAATAGAAAGGCTTGAGAAAAATGGATCATTAATATTGATGCAAATATTTCTGTAGTGGTATGAAATTTATACTCAATTACACTAAAATATTTTGTAATAGTACTAAACTTTTCAAAAGTAGAGAATCTAATTGTTAATAGACTGGAGTGACCTAATGAAATTGGTTGTTCAGGTGGAGAAAGCTGAGAGGAAGTTAAACGACAAAATGGTGCTTCAGGCGCTCAGTTAAAATGATGAGATTTACTGTATTAGTGGAATAATGCACTTGAAATTCTGTGCAGGAACTCTTACTTAGAGCGTCTGGTTCAGTGAGGTCCCATGTAGGGATTTAAGCATTATCACAGTTGGTTACTGTGACTGTACAAATAATAATTTGGTTGTAGTTATTCCAGACTTTTGGCAATTCCAGCAGCTTCTCTAAAATAAAAACACTTAAATGTTTAATAATTGTTAATCTTCATAAATTATGTGAATGCATCTCTTAATATCTGCCAGCAGTAATCATCATCAGCAGTGGGTTGTTGGTCCTCATACCTTTTTATGTTGACAGTGACCCTTGAATATTTTGCGAAGTTCATTGCTGACTGGGGTCAAAATTTTAAAACGAATTCTCCTTTAGATAGTCTCATAAGATCCTATTTGGATATTCTGAAATGTGATTTAGAGGGAGACAAGAGAAGAAAATGCTTTTCCCCTCTCTAGAGACCAAATACCTACAAGTTCTCACCAGTGTTTCCATTGAATGAAAAAAGCTGAAAGCGGATGGAGAGCTGTGGGGGGACAGGTATTCATCTCAAATTTTTAACTTCTCTCTCCTGCTCTCTCTCTGTGCAATGGGCTTCATTCCTTCTGGACACGCTGCAGTTGGTGCAAGTAGGAGTGCAGCAGGATTGTCCCTGCTCCAGGGAGTGCTGCAGAAATGCAGCACTTACCTCCAGGGAAGAGCCTGCCTAGACAGTGGCATATGGTGAGGAAAGCAGGACTCTGTCTCCCCCTGCTGAGTCATACCCTGAGAAGGAAGGTCACAAGGTTTAGTTTTCACTCAGTTAATTAACTTCTGCCACTAATCAAATAGCAATTAGTAGATTGAATGCTTAATTAACATTTTATAATTAAGAAATACGATTCACATAATGAAATATACTGTAGTGAAAGGTATCTCGTTTTTATTTGTCTTCATTATGTCTGTGGCTGCCATTTTGCTCTGATATAATCAGTGGCTGGAGAGGTAGCTAATAGCACATTAATTAAACTCTTGTTCTAATTTATAAGTGGATTTTAAGGTAAAAATTTCCCCAATTTGCATTCCAGAGTAAATTATCTACTTTTACTTAGGCTATAGTGATATGATATATAATGGCTGCTATGTTGATCTCCAATCAGTAAACTAGGCTGCCGTTTTAGGATGCACTTCATTTCTCGCACTCTGTATTTTTAGCATAGCATTTTTCATCTCCACATTTAAGCATTGTGCCTTTTTTACTTTGTGTTGCTGTGACTTTACAACTGAGTTCCAAAATAAAGGAAAACATTTGCCTCCTTTTCAGTATAAATCTGCTGACTTTCCTTTCACTCAGAGCCCTATTGTTATTTAGAGATTTTCGTATGGGAACTGCTTCTAATAAAGATCTTTTCCTGTCTAGGATGAAGTGGTGAAGTTGACAGATAAATGTCTTAACAATGCAATCGAGAGCCCAATTGTAGCAGCAAAGTGGCTTCCAGCAGATCTCAAAAGCAATATCCTGAAGGCCCAGGCAGAAGCAGGTCACAAGGTAAATGCTCACCTGAGTAGGACTGTGACGCTCTCAAATGTTTTATTTTTCTTCAATTGCCTGATGTTGGAGAAGGTGCCTTGCAGATAAGGGTGTTCCAAGAGCCTTGTCCAAGGTAGAGTTGGAGAGCTTTTCAGCCTTTCTTCACAGTGATAGTTGCCCAAGGAGGAATATCCATCTTTGATGATACTCAACAAGTAACTGGACAAGACCTTCAGCAAGCCCTAGTTTGAGTGGTCACTGAGCCAGATAACCTCCAAGGGTTGTCTTCTAACCAAGCAGTTATTCCATGATTCTGTGACTAAGACTGTTCTTCTTGCTTGTTGTAGTAAATTCTTTAGCAAATAATGGTATTTTATTTGGTTATCTTGGTGAATTATTTTTATGTCTGCTCTGAAGTTTTCACACAGAACTGATGTTTTAAGTCCCTGAGCTGTAGATGAACAGGACATTTTTGTTCTGGGACAGAGACACTCAGCTCTACTGTGAATCCCAGAACAGATACAAGATGGAAACAGGTATCAGAAATATATGTCTGTGTTCATTTCTTCCTCTTAGGTTATAAAAGATGACAGCATGACAGGTGTCAAGAATTCTAATATTCAGGATGCTGCTGCCAGGTACTGAACAGATTTGGAAGAAACAGGTGATGTAGCTACCCAAGTACAGTGCTGAGAACCTGCAGTTCAGTGGGCTCTGTCAGTGGCTCAGTGATAGCTGCATTTTACCTTTGCATAGTGTAGCTTAACTGCAGAGTGTGAAGTGCTTTCAAAATGAAAACCAAGACTGTAGTTTTATTATTTACAAGGTAATGCAGATGCTCTTTATTCTCCCATGCTTTAATTTGATGAACATGGTTGCAACAGCAGCTTCAATCACTGTAGTTATTTCTGATATGTGAATAGCTTCAGTGTGGGGAGAGGGGGTGGGTCTGCTTACAGCAGCTGTTTTCTAGTGGAGAAGAAGATTGTGTACAAACCTCTGACACTGACAGTTGTTTTCCTGAGAATTATTAAATCTCAAATGATTGCTGGGTCCAGTGGAATTGCAGGCATTGAAAAAATTCTAAGGGTTACAACATCTATTTTCTTGACCATTTGTGAAGATGTACATCTCAGACCTCACATGGTCATACTGAACAAAACGTACATGAAGCAATCCCCAAACTATGCTGTAACAAGTGATTCATGAAGAGCTTTCCATGGAAGGTTATACCTGTTTTTTGGTTTGTTTGTTTTTTGTTGGTTTGTGCCAGGAACATTCTCCTGTCAGGCAAATCACAGCATAGCCCCCCAGCAACCAGTCCAGTATTTCAAGACCCGAGAGAGCTGCTGAAAGCAATCCCTGCTTCAAACACCTTTGTTCCGTAAGTGATTCTGGAGAAACATGTTTTTGGGGTAAGGGGACCATGTGGAGATTATCATAAACAGGTCTGAAAAGATGAGGAACAGTTGCTGAGCATTTAGGCTATATCTAACTAAGCAGGTTTACCAATGCATCCTTAATTCCTGTTGCAGCAGTTAATCAGTGTAGGCCAGGCCTTGGGGTGAGTATCCTAGCAAGCAGTAAGAGAATTTCTTTCATCTTCTGAAAGGACTGAGATGCCTGACATCCTGGTGCCCCTGGCTCTAAAGAGGAAGATAAGAGGATGACAGGAAAGGCTTCAGGCGAATTAGACATGAGGGCTGAAGAAACTCCTCTGAGATAGAAGACATCGATACTGTTGGGTCTATACACAGCTGTAGCTGAAACTATGACAGAGAGCAGTAATCTGTGGAGGTAGTTGGAAGGCATTTACGTTAACATACAGATATCAGTCTTTTGTCTGCCTCAGTGGAGTTGGTGTTAAGTTTCTGGGCTATCTGGGAAGCAGCACTATTTTCTACTAACCACTCAGGGTGCTAATGAGAATGTTTTCTCCTTTCAGTAATGCATTGAATGAGGACAATGCTGCCTCTAACCACGAGGACCTGCTAATTCCAGCTAATCTGGCTCCGGCTGAGGAGGCTGCTGTTTCAAAGGTATCACCACCTGCCAGCCTGGAAGGTTTCTGTGTCACATTCTGAGCTACCGATGCCTCCAGGCAAGCCCAGCAGACCTTGCCGCATGCCTCTCATAACTCAGTGAATACCAGGCGCCAGTGAATGCCAGAGAGTGCTTTCTGGAGCCGGCAGGGACACTGCATAGATCTCTCCAAAGGCCATTTCTGCATGTTCTTTCAGGTTCTTGGCCTGACACTGTTTTTTTTCCAAACTGATTGATTTTCTCACACTGATGGGAAGCCTCTTACATGCCAATGATTTGATGCTCCAGGAAAGAGACTGTAGGGATGAAATTCTGACATAGGCAGTTCCTATCAAAATAACCACAGAGGGAAAAGTTTAAATTGAAATGTTTAATTGTTATATTCTGGTTCCCTTAAGGATAAGCTAATTTTTAACTAGACTCCATGAAACGCACAAAGTAATTCAGGGGTCAGCTTTCCTTTGTCCCTCTCCAAAAGAGAAGTGGAGTCCAACAGTAGATTCTGCTATTATTTCAGCAGACTGATGGGTTGTTCTGGATGACTAAAGCACCGTGACCTGTAGCTGTTTTGCCTCTAAACCAGTATTATGTAGTTGATCCCACTAAAGAATTACCAATTTCATCTTCTGAGTTCAAACGCTCAGCTCACAGACCTTGCTGACCTTGTGGAATGGCACAGTACCCCACCTTTGGATAGGAGGATGGGACAGTGCACTGCTTGCTGACAATGGCAATGACGTTGTTTCTAGTACATTGGTGAGAATAGCTGAAATTAAAAGGCTATTAAAAAAGCTCACATGGAAAGATTTGAGAAAACAGGCCTGAAAAACAATGGTGTTCATTAAAGACACTGGTCTGTAACTTGAGAAGCCACTAGAGTATTCAGCAGACCTATGTGGTTACTACTGGGAATTCAATTCAAAACTGATTTATTCCATAGAGCACTCCAGATGACCAGGACGTTTCCTTAACATCACTGACAGAGAATCTAATTGACTTTACAGAAGCCACACCTCGGGTAAATGTATTTCAAAACCAAACTTCTTCCTTCACACATATAGTGGTTTTTACTCATGAACTCTCCTCTGGCTTTAGTTTCTATCTGCCAGGCTTGGATCTGCTGCAGTGGAATGAAGTGTTGGACATGGATCACTGCATATGTGCCCCCCGCCACTTGTAGGGTGGCTGATGTAGGGGTTTAGACCTTACAGCTTTGTAAGAGAAGTGAAGGAACCTGAAGAGTGAACTTGTATCTGTGCCACAGGAACCTCTAATCTTATTTTAGTACACCTGCAAGTGTCAGCCTGCTTCTCAGGCTTTTGGGTATACATAACACTTCAGAAATTATATGTAAATGTGTATATACACATATATATGTATACGTATATACACATATGCATATGAAATAAATACTCAAAAATTAAACTTTTAATACAAGTCAACCCTTTTATGTAGATAAAAAAAAATCTCTTACAATCTGCACTGGCAAAATGGAGTTATATTGCATGCACCAAAAAAGAAGGGGGGAAGAAGAACCTTTAAACTGTTCACAGAAGCATGCTCTTAGTTAATGTTGTCCACAAAGCACTAAAAAAGTAATGGGTTCCCTGACCCTGGGGAAGGGAGGGCTGAGCTGACGCTGCTCCCAGTGTGTCTGTGAGTGAGTGGGATTGGCTGAGCGGGTGCCACACGTGCAGCTCATCACTATTGTGGTGCAAAGACTAACAAGAGGCAAATATCTGAGATTGTTTTAGGGAGAAGTGTTGTTTAGGGAGGCAATATTATTTTGAGAATGTTCTCTGCTACTTCCAACCTTTTCATTGAGCTTTTGTTTGCTTTTTTTGTAGGTGTCTTCCCAGCCCATCATAACACCGAGGTGGTTAGTGCCAGTGAGTTGCTTGACCATTCCTTAGCAATCAAATAAAAAAGAAAGCTTTTGTCTTCATTAAGAAACAGGAGTTCAAGTAAAACAGTAAAATACAATAATTTGTAATAATATGAAAGCCTATAAAATAATGTACCAGACCAAAAATAAAGCAAACTAATTGGGCTGGAGTAAATCAGACAACATACGTGCCCTGTTAATAGTTAAACTTCATTTTTGCTGTATTGCACTGCAGGTAAATACCTTAAAATTTCTTTAAGAATTTGCATTTAGTGAAACCCAAACTGGAGGTTGATGAATCTTATTTTTTCCAGTTATAAATAAATCATATTGAAAAATTAGCTTGTCTTGTCCTGGCAGGTGCTTATTTCAGGTTTTTGTTTCATTCTCCCCCATTCAGACAGGACTGATTTCCAACGGGCCTTTAGGAAATGATTTTGCCTTATCCATGAAGGCAGCGAAAGGCAGCACAGAGACTCTGCTGTCAGCTGGATTGACACCATCCCAGCAGACAGCCGAAGTCCTTGCAAGGTAAGATCTCCTCAGCACTCACTTCAGAAATCTCTATGGAGTGGGAAGGAAACCTGTGCCCCTGCTGCTTCCACTGGTCATTTAGACACAGTGCCTTGTTTTGCTGTGCTTATAAACTGCAGTTTGTGTCTCACTTTATAGCATTTGAAATATTACAAATAAATAGAACAGCTAATATGTGTATATTATCATTTCACTTCAGTTTCTTTCCTTATGCCCTAACATGTTCTAGTATTGGATTAAAATTATGGTACAGATAAATTTTCTGAGAAATCTCTTTACAGTGTTTCAGTACCTGTCAGAGGATTGGTGGGGGTAGAGAGGGATGTCTCCCACTTATTTCCAAGCTATAAGGATGTCAGAAAACCAAATTGGTAGAAGCCTTCCCCCTTGCTATTCCATTCTGCCACACTGATGAGGGAGAATGATGGCAGTGATGATCAGGCCTTTCAGCAAAGGCTCTAAAAGAGTGGCAGTGATGCTACTGCTGCACTGTTTGAATGTGATTGTTTGCTCTTCTGCAATTGTCCATTAGAAAGCTTTGTCCATTGGTCTCATTAAATTAGGAGGTGAACAACCATTAATGCTCTTTGGAGCAATACTCACCTTTTTCTTTTTTAATGCGTCATGGCAGACCTTTTAGGAGGAATGTATTTACAGAGCCTCATTTTTTTTCCTCTTTCAGCCCAGTTACTGAAGATGCTACAGTAAGAACAAAATGTTTACTCACCACTGAACTCTAGAAGAAGGAGTTTCTGAACTTCTCACCTTGTAAAAACTCAAATCTTCTAACACATCTCCAAGGGATCCTTCCAAAAGACTTGCTTGGGATCAAACTCATGTTGAATGGGAGTCAAACAACCATCTGGTTTGCTAGGATCCAGGAAGAGACTCCTACATTTATTGCAATCTAACTGGAATTTCAGTCTAAACCGGGATGTAAAACCACATACACGTTTGATCTTCTCCCTTGGGAGGAGCAAAATGTCCCACTGGAGCTAGTTCTGAACTGAGGAACAGAAAACAGTTGTGTTCTACTCATGCTGGGTTTATTGTTACTTACCCTGTGGAAGGCTCTCACTGTGATGTGGGGTGTGGTGTGAGCTCGGTGACCGCTGTAGAGTGATTAATATCACAGAGTTTAAGAGAACTCATAGGGCCACCTCGTGGCCATGCTCTGTACAGGGACTCACAGTGGTGACTGTTTCATATGGCCAAGGACATGTTCTTCTGTGTGATTATTCCCTCTGTTTTTCCTTCATTTTAACAACACATACTCTCCTTTTTGGCCTTAAACACCTTAATAATCCTTGCACCCCTTATTACAGTATGTGGAAAGCATGCAAATCTAGTCCATCAGTGACCAGCTACATTGACTGGATTTGAGCTGCTGCTCATTGCAACCAGGAAAATGAAAATTGACCTGCCAAACAGCTTATAGCATTAGCAGACTACAGCAGAGGTCTCACATTTGGCACTGATTATTTAATTTCCTACATGACTCAAATACATCTGGTTTAGGCTAGAGATGTGTATGTTTTAAATGCCAAAGCAGGGAATGTATAAGTACAGCTTGCTTCAGGAACTGCTTATTGATTAGTTTTGTTGTCTTGTAGGACTAGAAAGGAAAAGAATTTCTTTGTTTCTCTTCATATTATTTCTGGGTGTTTTTTCCAGATGCTGTGCTTCAGGAATACTTGCCAGGTATTTTTGCGGCATGAGGGTACAACTAGATCAGTTCTTAACGCCACCTTGAATCCTGTTTCAAGTGTCATCTAATAGTTTTACGTGGAACAAAGAATAGAAAGAATAGGGTGAAAACAGGAGAAAAAGATGAAAAATTCCTGTAAGCAGTTCACGTCTCGCTAGAAGGAAGGTAAGAGCACACACTCCACAGAGCTGGCGAAGGCCTTTTGGTGCTCAGGTGAAGTAGAGGGTGCAGTTGAAAGAGATCATTTGAGCCCTGGGCAGCAATATCCTCACATGGACATGGAGAGGTGAGCACGTGGACCCTGGGGATACAACCTGTGAAAAAGGTCAATGCAGAGTCAGAAGGGAGGAGAAATAAAGATGATGATGAATTCCACATCTAACAGGGAAGCACAGATGAAACAACTGGGATCTTTCTTTCTTAGGAAGAAGTTTGTACATACGACTGTGGTTGGAGGATGTTTTCTGCATAGTGCTGCTGTTTATAAATATTTATATGCAGGTGGTTCTTAGAAGCAAACTTAAATGTGAAAGTTGATTCTGGAACCTCTATGCACAACTTCATTTCTGCCCACTGGCTGCGGGCATGTGTCTCAACATAAACAAAGATTTGGACCAAACCACTATGGATTGTGCAAGTAAGCTGGTGCCCTGCGAGGCTGCTCTGTTCAGACCAAGGCATTCTTGCTGCTGTTGCTCTTGTGCTCTTCTTTGCAAGATGCTGAGAGTGTTAAGGGAGAAGCCACCTGGATTTTGCGTGGCACACTGCCACTTCTCAAAACCCCTGAGGCCTTAATAAAGAAGTGTAGGAACCAGAGAAAGCGCTTAGGACTGACATACCAGAGTGACTCTGCAGACAATGATTTGTAGCCATTGCCTCAAGAATCAGGAGTCAAAATGGGTGGCAGGTGCTGCAGGTTCCACTCCAGTCAGCACCTGAAGCGCTGCATGGGCAGGTACCCCCTCTGCCAGAGGGAAGCCCCTGTTCTGGACCAGGCAGGCGCAGGGTTCCTGCTCACCAGCCCTTCAGTTCTGTCATTGCTACTTCCAGTTTATATTGACTTTTCTTACACTTTTAAGTCTGAGCCGTAGTGCTTATTAAAATGTAGAAGATTCACGATTCAAATATCAAATGTCGTAGTCTGGATTAATAATGCAGTTGCCAGCAAAGTTCCTGCAGGAAAAGGGAAGCTATGGCTGCAACAGTCTGCTTCCTGCACAAAGCCAGGACTGTGTGGGGAAACTTGGCACTAGCTGTTGATCTGTTTGCTCAGCAGCTGAGCTGGCATTCACCAGCTACATGTGTTGGGTTTGTAAATAGACAGAATGAAGTAGCATTTTCTTAGGCATGTTTGATATTTGACTCTTCCCATTGGGTTCAGGAGCTCTGTGAACTGTCAGCTTGAATTCCTCCCAAAAGTGGAATAACAGAAGTTTACAGTTTTACAGCACTGCGTGTTGAATACCAGCCTTGGATTCCTCCCAGGCAATCACATACAGCAAATAACAAGTAAATAACGTGTGGTGAGTGTGTCCCCCTAAAATCTAAATGGTACCAAGTAGCCAACTGTTATTTCAGCATGGTTGGGATAGTGGTGATTGGAGGGGAATGTTGTAATTACACATATTCATTCACACACAAATTTCAAAGGGTGAGGCTTTCCTCAATTTTCAGAGGACTCATATTTGAAAATTTTTACTTAGAAATTCAAAAATTTCAACTGTTAATTTGGGAACCTGCAATTTCTAATAGATTTGCAACCAACTCTTTTCAGTGATATCTGATTATATTCAGAGCAAATATTCACTCCATTTAAGTCAATGTAGCTTATTTAGCTAACCCAAATGATTGCTTCTATAGGAAGCCTGGCAAGACCAAGGTCACAGGTTTGTGATCTGAACATCCTGCAGTTTGGTATCACTGTTTTGCTTTGAAACTAGAGGTATTGTGTTGTATCATGACTAGTTAGCAGGTAATACAGCATTGCTCAGCACCTGCATTTTATCAGACACAAATAGGGATAATTGTTCCTATAGTTAGTGTTATAAAATATTAATTAATGCTTTTATACTACTGAGAAAAAAGGATTTTCTTACCATTGCTCTACTATTGATTGATTGGCTATAGGGTCCAAGCATTCTCTTAAAGTTTATTTTTTGGTATTTATTTAAAGAGTTTTATAAATAAAACTTTTGTGTGAATCTGGTATCAGGATGTTGGCAGGTCTGCCAACCACTTGAAAGCTCTAAGAGTTGACAGGAATGAATTAATGCATGTTAAATGATTGGATCTAAAAGTGATTTTACTCCAGTCACACTCTATAAGTGATTGGAGTAAAAGGTTTTATAAAATCTTAACATTTATAGTAACAACACCCCAGCCCTTACCTCAAACTAATTAACCTTGGGGAGATGCATTTCAGTCTCACCCATTTAGTCCATCAGTCTGTGTGTGTTTCCAGGCTTTTGAGTGTTAAAATGTGGGAGTTCAGGCCTTCTTACACTGGAAGTAAGGGAATATCTTCATTGATTCAGTGGTAAAGGCATTTAATATCAGGTATGTTATATGACATAAAATATCTACTTACCTGGTAATCAGTTATGGCTAATGTGTTATAGCTGGAATGTGTTTGGCTTAAATTCCACTCATACTTTGTCAAAGACAGACAGCTGTGTAAGAGCTATGTTTTGGGCAATTTTTTGGGCACGCAACTTTGGCAAGAAAATTTGCAGCCCAGTTAGAGGAGCTCAGGTGAACAGTCCAACTATGTTTGGGTCTCTCTCTACAAACTGTTTCCAGTCCTTGCCTGCTCTGCCTTTGTCTGCACCCTGCTCATTCTCGTTTCATGAAGCAGAGAAGTACTGTTAGGAGGAGCATGTCTTTCACAAGCAGCACTGGATGTATTTTTCACATTGTGAACATGTTCTGGTACACCCCAAATCTACTGGTGAAGTGTTAGCACCTCTGTTTCATGGCCAGCTAGCATTTAAAGCTCTATCTAGGCACATAGAGTGTTTATTAGTTTAAAAAGTTGTAGTGTATATATATACATATATATATGTATATATATAGCTATTGGACATGGTAACATCACTGCTTTGAAATGCAGCTGGACAATCATAACTTTTAAACCAGAAAATAGAAACAACCCATGCTAATGGCCTTTCAGTGATGCAGGTGTGATCCATGTGTTTGGTCTGGGTGTTGGCATTACAGATGTGAGTTCAGGGCCCTCCCCACGATGCCCTCACGGAGGCGGAGCCAGGGGGATCCCGCTGGGTGCTGCAGTGGCTCCAGTGCTCAGGGGGTTGATCCAGGTGGTCAGCACAGCCTAGTGAAAGCCAGTGGGGGGGGGCACTGCCTCTGCAGCACTGCTGGACCCCTGCAGCAGGGAGCTGCAAGATTCTCCTACAAAACTCACCTTGTTTTGACTGCTTGGCTTGAGCACTCTGTTTCAT